TACAGGAATTAACAGTCAACTTTTATCGTATTTTAATTCACTCCATAGTCATATTGAATCTACAATAGAAACATTATGGCATGATACATAGATTAATAGAAATTTTGATGTCAAAATGCAACTTTGATGCAACTTAACATCATTAAGCGAATAGCTGTAAACAATGGATCCTCCTCCTCAGTCCTAATCCCTTTTGGGATGTGGTGACACCACCAGGCCTTCACAGTTTTTTTTACGATTTCCCTCCATCCTCCCTGTCCTGGGCTAGGGTAACAAAAATGCGTACAATGGTAAACAATGGGTACAATGAACAAATAATTAATAAAATTTTAAATCAAAAACTTCACAAGAAAGCTGTGAAATTAGTATTTCCACCACCAGAGAAAAAATGCAGTACCTTCTGCTTGATTATATATACACGCAAAATAAAAACAAAAATAGCCAAACATACAATAATATGGAGAAAGGAATAACACCAGCTTTTAAAACAAACAACAAAATAAAAAAACACTTACACAGTGGTGTATATAAACTTAAATGTGGCCATTGCCCAAAAATTTATATTGGTCAAACTGGTGGAATCTTTAACGAACGTATAGCAGAACATAAAAGATCTTTCAATAATACAAACACAGCTTATACATACGCAATTCACCTTCTAGATTATAATCATTCTTTTAATTACTATTAAACTGGGAATAAGCCACAATTAAAGATAAAAATACATTTATTGACGTTTCAATTTCCACTTCGGAAATCGTTCTCAAAATACAAAACAGTAAATTAAACAAATTTTGTTTTTTGTTACATAGTGAAAAATTCTTCTAATAATTTAATTTTATCTGACTCATTTATATTGTCAATTCAGACATACATTATGCATTTTAAAGTAGACGACTTTAAAATGATATTGCCAATATTGTTGAGTTGCGCTCCTGGGACGACTTTACTTATAAGATAGTTCATTCGATTACATGAAATCAACTTTAACTTGAGAATATCCGTCAGAAAAAATCATAGCATGTAATTCGTCTTTAAAAAGACAAACACATGACATGATGACAGTAAAATTCTCCTGTTAGTGATTCCATAGTAAATTATGAGGGAAAACCAGGAAAAAACCTCATAATACTATCCCGACATTGTAAGTATTTGTTCGTGAATTTAGTTTACCTTCAACAAACATCAAAATTCTGATTTTATATGTTACGTTATTTAAAAAACATAAATGATGTATCCTCTATATGTTACTGACTTACTAATACTGGTATTTTCTTATTAATAACTTCCTCTTTTAATATTGGTAACCAGATCCTACTACATTCTGCCGAAGAATTTGCGACACAATTGGCCTCATTTAACATAATTAGAGCCGCTTCTTTGATTTTTCTTTTTTTACCATCCGTTTCTTTTAGGACTACATTTGAATTACTCCATTGAACCCTATGTTCATTATCCCATGCGTGTTTACAGATTTGAGATCTATCAAATTCTTTATTTTTAATATAAGATTGATGTTCACTTATTCTAACATTTAATGGCCTTCTTGTTCATTGTTAGGTTTGGTTTTGGACAAAATAGATCTCAACGTGTTTGTTGTTTTGAATGTTGTTGAAATGTTGAATTTATTTCCTATCCTTTTAAGTTTTTCTGATAGTCCTTTTATATACGGTATTGTTATTTTCCTCATATTATTCCTTGTGTATGCTGTAGGATCTCGTTCTAAGTTGTTCTGTTCTATTCGATCGATTGTTGAAAATTCCTTATTTATAAACGATAAAGGATAATCATTTTTTAATAAAACAGATGTTAACAAATGTTTCTCCTCCAAGAACGAATTTTCATTAGAACAAGTAATTTTGGCTCTATCGTATAAGGATTTAATTATTCCCTTTTTTACATTAATATTGTGATTTGATTTGAAATTTAAATATCTATTGGTGTGTGTTGGTTTTCTACACACCTGAGTCTCATATCCAGTATCGTTCTTAGAGATTAAAACATCCAGGAAAGGTAGCGTGTTATTATATTCCTTTTCCATGGTAAATGTTATTGTCTCTTCTTTATCGTTTATATCATTTAGGAATGTGTTCAACAACTCTGATCCATGAGGCCATATTGAGAATACATCATCTACATACCTCCACCATACTGTGGGTTTGAAATTTTGTTTAGAAATGATATTTGTTTCAAAATCTTCCATAAATATATCGGCTAAGAATGGAGATAAACTAGAGCCCATTGCTAGACCAAAATTTTGTTTATAGAATTCATTATTTAGTTGAAAATATGTATTATCAGTACATAATGGTAATAACTCCATTATAGCCGATATGTTTAGTCTTGTTCTAGTTGCCAATGAATCATCACTCTCTAGTTTTGTCTTGACTATATTTAAAGTCTTATTTAATGGCACATTCGTAAATAAACTATTTATGTCAAAACTTACCAAAGTATGATTTGAATTAAATTCAATATTTGATAATTTATTTAAAAAATGTTGTGTATTTTTTATGAATGTGTCATTTTTATTTGTAAATGGTTTTAAAATATTTAATAAAAATTTTGATAGTTCACTACAAGGAGAATTCATGGTACTACAAATGGGTCTAAGTGGTATATTCGTTTTATGAATTTTCGGTACTCCATAAAAATGAGGAGTCTTACTGTAATGAGGTGTAATTAATCCTCTCTGATAATTTGTTAAAACATCTTTAAACTTGAATAAAGTTCTACATATTTTGTTTTCCAAAGGCTTTGTTGGATCTTTTGTTAATTTTGTATAAGGTCCGTTTAATATAATATTTAAAAGGAATATAATAACACGCTACCTTTCCTGGATGTTTTAATCTCTAAGAACGATACTGGATATGAGACTCAGGTGTATAGAAAACCAACACACACCAATAGATATTTAAATTTCAAATCAAATCACAATATTAATGTAAAAAAAAGGGAATAATTAAATCCTTATACGATAGAGCCAAAATTACTTGTTCTAATGAAAATTCGTTCTTGGAGGAGAAACATTTGTTAACATCTGTTTTATTAAAAAATGATTATCCTTTATCGTTTATAAATAAGGAATTTTCAACAATCGATCGAATAGAACAGAACAACTTAGAACGAGATCCTACAGCATACACAAGGAATAATATGAGGAAAATAACAATACCGTATATAAAAGGACTATCAGAAAAACTTAAAAGGATAGGAAATAAATTCAACATTTCAACAACATTCAAAACAACAAACACGTTGAGATCTATTTTGTCCAAAACCAAACCTAACAATGAACAAGAAAGGACAAAGAATTGCATTTATAAAATACCTTGTGAATGCGATCAGTTTTATTTAGGTGAATCATCAAGGCCATTAAATGTTAGAATAAGTGAACATCAATCTTATATTAAAAATAAAGAATTTGATAGATCTCAAATCTGTAAACACGCATGGGATAATGAACATAGGGTTCAATGGAGTAATTCAAATGTAGTCCTAAAAGAAACGGATGGTAAAAAAAGAAAAATCAAAGAAGCGGCTCTAATTATGTTAAATGAGGCCAATTGTGTCGCAAATTCTTCGGCAGAATGTAGTAGGATCTGGTTACCAATATTGAAAGAGGAAGTTATTAATAAGAAAATACCAGTATTAGTAAGTCAGTAACATATAGAGGATACATCATTTATGTTTTTTAAATAACGTAACATATAAAATCAGAATTTTGATGTTTGTTGAAGGTAAACTAAATTCACGAACAAATACTTACAATGTCGGGATAGTATTATGAGGTTTTTTTCCTGGTTTTCCCTCATAATTTACTATGGAATCACTAACAGGAGAATTTTACTGTCATCATGTCATGTGTTTGTCTTTTTAAAGACGAATTACATGCTATGATTTTTTCTGACGGATATTCTCAAGTTAAAGTTGATTTCATGTAATCGAATGAACTATCTTATAAGTAAAGTCGTCCCAGGAGCGCAACTCAACAATATTGGCAATATCATTTTAAAGTCGTCTACTTTAAAATGCATAATGTATGTCTGAATTGTCAATATAAATGAGTCAGATAAAATTAAATTATTAGAAGAATTTTTCACTATGTAACAAAAAACAAAATTTGTTTAATTTACTGTTTGTATTTTGAGAACGATTTCCGAAGTGGAAATTGAAACGTCAATAAATGTATTTTTATCTTTAATTGTGGCTTATTCCCAGTTTAATAGTAATTAATTTACAATGCCACAAGAAAATAGCTTCAGAACAAAATCATTCTTTTATTGACAAATTTCTGATCTGATCTGTAACCGACACATCTCTTGACTAATAGCATTGTCAAGATAAGGTTGAATGTTCGAATAATTAAACTTTGAGGGTATACAAGGCAACTATCGAACACGGTGATTAATTTAATCTTGCCCAAATACTTTCGATCAATAGATCATCTTCAGGGGCATTTCGTCAATTGTGGCCTATCCGACATAGTAGAATGTCATAAATGTAAAATTTGGACATAACAATACAAAATACAATACACTAAGACAAACAAACACTTTAAAATTTATATGGAGAAGCTACATATTGTATAGAAGCCGGAGACAGAATGGAGACAGAATGAATTCTGTCTCCGGCTGTCTCCGGAAGAGATATTATGGCAACATACTGTTTTGAGAAAAATAAATAAAAAACCTAATAATTATTTCTTGTTGTTTTAAGCATTAATAATTTATTTAAAAAAAATTTTTAAACTTATTATAATTTAAAAAGATTTAAACTTCACCCTTGATTGGTTAAGTAAATATATTGCAAACCAATTTCGGACGTTTTAAGGGTCGGAAAACATAAACAACATTAACAGCCTTTTTAGAAAATACCTTTATATGTACACCACTGTAAAACTCTCCTGATTTACTGTTTCATTAACACCCGAATGGCAGCACCTATTGGAAAACTTTGTATCTTGTTTACACTCATATAAGTTCTTTAACGTAAGGTGAGGTCATTCTCTTGCAAGTAAAACAGAAACTATCATGACTGAAAATACGAAATTTCGTTGCTTGTGTAGTTTGTTAGTGTTGGTGATACTCGTGGGGAAAGTTGTGCCACAGGGATTTCAGTTTACCAACCCGATTAGGTTTCCGTATTCTAGTACAGGAAATCCTTATATTGGGGTAAGTAGTATAGATAAGAGTTATTACCCTATTTTAAGCTAATAGTCTGACTTAACGGAAGATAAAGTTTAAAAATGTTTATTAAGCATATATATTTACTATGAAACTATCGTTAACTTTTATTGTATAGTTTATATAAAGCAATAAATTCATATAATAATAAAAAACACAATTTTTTACTTTGTGTATTTTTAAAAATATATCTTCATTTTTAATAATATTATGCCTATTCAACTATGCGTTCATTTAGCATGAAAGTCTAGCAAATTCTAGACGGTTTGTATGTTTTTATCATATTTTATGTATCTATAGATACGATCTAAATACAGAGTTTATTAATTTCAATTGCACTTTTTTTCTACGCTTTGCAGGGAGTTGGAAGAGTGTGCTTGGTTAAGTTAGTATGCACTTTCATTTTATTTTGCAGTGTACGATTACCACTGGCAGTTTTATTAGTTTGTTATTTTCAATAAATTTCAACGGCGACGTTATGGCACATTTATAAAGAATACACAACAATATTTAAATATAGTATTTAATATTTAATTTAATTTAGATATTTTATTTACAAATATCCAAGTATAGATCTAAATAGAGATAGATAAATATTTTATTTACAAATGAGCCATTAGATAACACTTCAAAACTATTCAAAAATTAAATAAGAGAATGATGATACAATGACAACTGGAACAAGACTAAATATATCGGCTCCAATAGAGCTATTGACATAATCTACTGATAATAAACATTTCTAACTAAATAATATTCTATATTGGGATCAAGACAGAAACAATTAAACAAATTAAGGAAGAAATTATTACTCCTTTAACTTTTCTCATTAATGCATGTTTTCAGGATGGTTGTTTTCCAGAATGTCTGAAAATTGGCAAAATCAAACCTCTGTTTAAAAAAGGAAATAAAGAAGACGTGATTAATTACATCTTTGTTGTCTGTTTTTTCCAAAATATTTGAAAAAATTTTAAAAAATAGATTAGTAAGTTTTTTGGATAGGTTTAGTATAATATCGGATTGTCAATACGGTTTTAGAGAAAGAAAATCTACACAAGATGCTATTTGTAAACTAACATCACAAATATCAGAAGCTTTTGAGTCTAATAAACGTAGTTTGTGCATATTTGTCGATCTCTCTAAGGCGTTTGACACGATATCTCACGGGATCTTGTTAGAGAAACTTGAGAAGTATGGTATGAGAGGACGCGTTTTGACATTACTAAAAAGTTACTTAACAGACAGAAAACAATTTGTAGAAATTGATGGTGTCGAAAGTGATCCTGAAGTAATTAATTATGGCGTACCGCAAGGGACCGTTTTAGGCCCTCTACTCTTTACACTATATGTTAATGACATGCTTAAACTAAAAACTGATGGAAACATAATAAGCTTTGTTGATGACATCGCAATTTTTTATATGGCCGATAATTGGGAAGATCTTAATACTATAGTTGAACAAGACTTCAAAGTTATAAAAACATGGTTGCAAATAAACAAACTCACAATAAATTATGAAAAAACTAAATATATACCTTTTGCAATGTATAAAAATTCTCTGCCAACTTTTAATTCAACTTTTAATTTTTATTCAAAATAAATAAAAAACAACTAATATTTAAAGCAGAATACATAAAATATTTAGGAGTTTTAATTGACAGGCAACTTAAATGGGACTTACAAATAAAAAATATTATAAGAAAAATACGAGGACTGTTACCAAAATTCCGCTATTTAAAAGAGTTTTTGGATGTTGAACAGCTTAAAATGCTTTACCTGTCTTTAGTACAATCTCATCTTATATATGGGATTTTAGAATGGGGTGGCGTAGCTGATTGCCATCTGGTGACCCTTCAAAATACTCAGAAATGGTTTCTTAAACTAATATATGGAAAACGAAAAACATATCCCTCAGACCAACTTTTTCATGAAACTCGGGTTCTTGATGTTCGGCAATTGTACTGTTTAGAGCTACTTAAAAATATTATAAAAATAAAATACCTCTTAAAGAAAAAGTGTCAAATTGTGAAACAAGAAGAAAATGGAATGTTGAATGTCTTCACACTTCAAAAACAATCACGCAACGGTCAATTAAATATTTTGCTTCAAGAATATACAATCAATTGCCCATAAATTTTAAAAATATCAAAAATTTTTATTTGTATAAAAAATTAGTTAGTGATTGGGTAAAAGAAAATAACGGAGTTGTGTAATAATAATAAGTTTAAATTATACTAGATAAAAAAAAAATCGAAACAAATTAGATTAGATTAGAAACTGTAAAAATGTAAAAATGAAATATTAATTTGTAAAAAATAAAAAAAAATCAATAAACATTAAACCTGTTAATATTAGACAGATTAAGTCAACAAGCATGTTGATGCTTAAAGACTTTTTTTACGTTTATTTTATTGTAAGTAAACTGAAATTGTAAATTAATGTAATACTTATTGATTTGAATAAACATATATTATTATTATTATATAGCCAATAGAGCAAGCGGGATTAGTAAATCATGACGAAAACATCAAGCAAAAAACCTCATAATACTATCCCGACATGGCAATTATTTGGTCTTATATTTAGTTTACTCTCAATAAACATCAAAATCTGATTTTCTGTGCATGTTACTTAAAAAACATAAGTGGTGTATCTTCAAAATGGTACTGGCTTACTAATAGTGACATTTTCCTTTTATTACCTTCCTCTTTTAATATAGGTAACCAGATCCCACTGCATCAATCGTTCAATCAATCGTTCCATTGAATCCTATGTATATTTTCTCATGCATGTTTACATCTTTGGGATCTATCAAATTCTCTATTTTTAATATATTATGATTAATGTTCACTTATTCTAACACTAAATGGTCTTGCTGTTTCACCTTAATTAAACTGAGCGCATTCATAAGGTATTTTATAAATACAAATTTTTGTTCTTTGTTGTTCATTGTTAGTTTAGTTTTAGACAAAATAGATCTCAATGTGTCTGTTGTTTTGAATGTTGTTAAAATGTTGAATTTTCTATCTTTTTATTTTTCTGATAATCCTCTTATGTATGGTAATATTCTACTTCTCGTATTATTTTTTCTATATTCTGTAGGATCTCGTTCTAAGTTGTTCTGTTTTATTCGTTTAATTGTTGAAAATTTCTTATTTATAAACAAAAAAGGATAATAAGTTTTTAATTAAACAGATGTTCTCTGAGAGAAAATCTGTTCTCTTAGAGAAAAAAGAAATTTTGTTGGAGAAGGTAATATTTAAGGGAAATTCGAAAAGTAAAGAGAGAAAGAAAAATATTTTTTACTTAGATGAAACATGGATTAAGGAAGTGAATTTTGTAAAAAAAGTTTGACAAGATAAACTGGTTACAAATGGTCATCAGGAATTTATAGAAAATTTTTATACGGGCTTAAAATTTTCAAATGGTAAAGGTTGCTGTTTAATTATTACTTGTATTGGAATACATAAACGATTTGTTAATGGAGGCGTGCTAAATATTATTTCAAATTCTACGAACGACTGCTGTGAAAAAATGATTGCTGATGTTTTTGAGGAGTATTTAAGTCAAATGATAGAAGATTTCGAGCACAGTTTTTATAAAATCTTGCCCAAGTACTTTCACTCCTAGAGCATCTTCAGGGGCATTATATCAAAATTAGGTTATCCAACAATATATGATCAATGTCATAAACATTAACTGATATATTAACACAACACGATACAAAAGACAAACATTTTAAAAATTATTATAAAATTCAACGTAGATACATACTGGCTAACATCAGATGAGAGAATGTTTATCTTTCTAAGTATTTAGTATTTTTATAAAAATTAATATTACGTAAAATTGACATTTTAATTTTTTGATATTAAAGTAATTTTATGTTCTTCGTCGAATGCTGCCCAGCTAACTTTCTTCTTGTTTTTATTTCTTCACTTTGAATTTCCCTATTTAGTATTATTTTTTGTCCTAAGTATTTATATTCTTCAACTTTTTCTATAACTTTATCGTTTATTATTGTCAGGGTGTTCTTCGGAGTGCATGACTTTTGTTTTGTTTAAATTTATTTTCAGTCCTATTTTAGAAGATTCGGTATGTAGTTCTAAAAGCATGGTTTGCATTTCTTGTAGGTCACTAGCTATCAGGATTATGTCATCTGCAAATCGTAGATTACTGAGGTAGAGGCCATTGATGTTTATTCCCTTATATTTCCAATTTAGGCTTTTAAAAACGTCCTCCAAAACTAAGGTGAACAGTTTGGTTGATAAAGTATCTCTCTGTTTGACTCCCCTGTTTAATGGTACAGGGTTCGTGTGATTATTTTCATTTAGGTAGTATGTAGCTGTAGCTTGGTTCATAGTTTCTTTTATTAAGTTTATATATCTGCTGTCTATTGTATAATTTTGCATTACGTTTATTTAAAGCTTTTTCGTAGTCTACAAATGCTAGGAAAACTGGAAACTTGTATTAGTTACATTTTTCTATAATTATTTTTGTGGTTTACAAGTGATCGGAAGTTGAATAGTCTTTTCTAAAACCTGCCTGTTTATATGGTTGGCATTCGTCTAATTTCCTTGTTAGTCGAGTAGTTATGACTTTGGTGAGTATTTTAAACAGGGCAGCATTCGGTAAACTGAACTATATACTTCGAAATCAACAAATTCAATTACATCTTAGATCTAAAGTTTTTGATGCATGCATTATTCCGATATTAACTTATGCGGCACAAACATGGGCAATCACAAAAAAGAATATGAATATACTTAGAGTCACTCAACACGCGATGGAAAGAGCAATGCTAGGTATATTACTTAAGGACAAGAAAACACACACATGGATACGACAGAAAACCAAAGTCACCGATGTGGTGCAAAAATCATTAAAGTTGAAATGGGAATACTCTAGACATGTAGCTAGGAGCGATCTAAACAAATGGCGCAGATCAATTTTAACCTGGAGACCATACCAACACAAAAGACCCAGAGGCAGACCTCCTATGAGATGGACAGATGATCTGAAAAGGACTGCCGGAAAAAATTGGCTACAAGTAGCGTACAATAAAAAACAATGGAAAGCAAGACTGGAAAAGGAAGAAGAAATGAAGAGGCTTATGTTTAGATGTTGACGTGAATGGCTAGACGAAAAAGAAGAAGAAGATGTTCTTCGTCACTGAAGCGTTCAGTTTGTGCTTAATCCCTTATGCTTTGCTCATTTGCATTTTATTGTCATGTTAAAGTCGAGTGAAAATTCAGATAAGAAGGAATCAATTATTAGATTTTATCTGTATTGACCAACCGTGTTGTTAGACCTTTGCCATATAATTTGTGCTATCAATCATTTTCAAATTTACTATAAAACAGGACATCGACAGAAAGAAAATATCACTATTATTAATATGTCAAGAATGCGTAGTTTATGCTTTAAAATAACGTACATATAAAATTAGAGGTTGGTGTTAATATTCAGAGTAGACTAAATGTAAGACTAAATACTTATTATGTCGGGATAGTATCAACATTTTTTGTGAAGCCTTAGGAAGTATCGATTTGAAGAGGCACTGGTACGCTATTGTTTTAACTTGAAAAACTTGAAATAAAAAAAATTGAAAGAGTGGGAGCTACATCCAGTGGTGAGCACACTTCGATTGTTTATTGGGATGGCTGATTATTGGAATAGTAAAAATTTACTTACAATTAGCCAAAACAAAAAAAATGTTTTAACCGTTGATCATCATTGCTGATCATATTAAGTTCACAATAATTATATTAAATGCCGATTTTACATATAACCACGAACAAGTAGATTGTATTTCACGCATATAAAATTGCACTTGGATCAAGAAATTTAATTAGAGCTTCGGCTTTTGATGTTTTGATGATTTTGATGGGAAATATGCACAAATGTTCAGAATCCGCAATTTGGCTAGCCTTTAAAACAAATTAAAAGTTACAATATAACCAACACCTTGATTGTATCAACTGCATCGATTTGGATCTGAAGATTGGTTCAAAATTATGTCAAAGTTTGCCTGCTTTCCACTGCCATACAGGGTGCGATTACAGTGCAATATTTTCTCAGAATAGCAGGCATCAAACTGTTTTTACAATGTTACCTGATAAAGTCGACATATTCATTAATGAAGAAATGGCTGTTGTTCAAGGGTTTACTACGAAAATTTATGCCGTAGATAACTGCAACAGAGTAAATGATGCAAAAAAATGGCATTTTTATAATAACTTATCCTGCGAAAGAAGATAACGAACAGTTTAAAAAAATAATAAAGTTTTAACAGCCACACTATACCAACATACTGGAAATCTTTACAACAAAAAATTTTGAGAACTATTTTTGTTAATTTCATGTGGCTTAATGCAATTAAGTCGGAATGTACAAAGCTTCAGCCTGAAAATTGTGGTTAGCATTTAGATGATTGTTTAAAACAAACAACATTTATTGGTAACAATGAAGGCAATAATAAAAATTTTAGTTCCGATGAATCAGAAGTAGACTTGGTTCCAATCATTAATTGTAATCAATGTTTTACACATATGTTATTAATATTTATGGTTTAAAGTAATGCAAATTTTGTACTGAGTAAATGTCTATGAAGTCATTTTTTAATTATTAGTTAATTATATTCTGGTCAAAATTATATCGGTCACTTCTTGTTTTTTTTATAATTTTTAACTAAATTTTTTACTAAATTATTGTTAAACATATCGGTAAAGGTCTTTCTTATATCGGATCCTAGACTACTAGGTTTTCCATTTTTGTGGATCCAATTTACAAATATTTAATTTAATAACATATTTATATTCTTATATTTTTTTGTTACAAAACTGGCAAGCCATATTCCAGCAAATCAGCACAAATTACTTTTATAACAAGAAAATCTACATGTCGACAAGTTTCTAATAATAATACTCCCATTCCCATGAAACCAGTTGTCAAATACTTGGGCTTGCATCTGGATGAAAAACTTACATGGGAAACGCATATTACAACTTAACGGAAACAACTAGAACTTAAACTTAAAAATTTAAACTAGCGATATTTACCAAAATGTCTCAGTTATCTCTTGAATATAAACGGCTTGTGTCTAAAACTAGTTTGGGCACATGGAATAGAACTATAGGGCATCATTGATTTCACATCTTTTATACTCTAAATTAATAAATAAAGAAGTTTTTTTAAATCCCAACACCTAGATTGCTGTTATTTTTAAAATCATCAAAACTTGTTGAATCTTTTGGCTGTAGTAATACTATGTACAACTAATATAGTTTTTGTTGCATTGACATTCTGTTTTCGTCATCCTTCATAAGTATCTTGTCAATCAGTTCCCAGCTGTTCTCCGCGTGTAGAGGTTCTCTCTCACCGGCTCTGGAACTCGATTCAGCCATGTGTTACCTCTAGTCAAATTTAATTTAATACTGAACATCACAGTTATTTTACAACACAATGTACAATCTTTTATAACTAAATGTAATTTAAAGGGTTTTTACCCTAGTATTTTGGTGGCTCAGACATTGTGACCTAGTAAGTATAACCATCTTTTGCTTTTCAACCATAGTCAAAATTTCATAATCTCGTTTGTTTTAAATAAATGGTTCATACTTATTTTTATTCATTTTTCGATTTTAAAACCTGATGATGGACTGTGTGGTCCGAAAACGTTTGTTTTATTGATGCAGCCCTTTTAAGGGTTTTTTAAATAAATATACCCATTTACAAAGACTAACCTCTTTTTGTGATACGTGATATACAGCCAGCTACAGGAATTTTTTCCTTGTGGATATTTATTTATACTTCAATTTAATAAAATAATATGTTAATTTAACCAAGTCTTCCAAAGAACATAATAAGATCGCAATCAATGATTCTAATAATTTTATATTGTTTCAGATGTTTGTGGCCATCGCACTACCAATTGATATAAGAGGTCCGGCAGATCTTTTCTTTTCTATGAATTTTGAAAGTTCGTACGCTCTACCGTCAAACCAAAGTTTACTTAATTATCCACCGATATATGCTTCAACTCGGCAATTAATATACCGGTTGCTCGAATCAAAAATAAAAGGGTTTGTACAATTCATTTTTATTATTATATTAATTTGGAAATATTTTAACCCTTAAATCGAAATATGTATGTCAAGTACGTAATGTATAACATTCGGTCTCAGAGACCCGGCGTACACATATTAACAGAGAACTATTTATTTTTATTTAGGCGGTAAAATTTAATAATTTTATGATAAAATAAAATTTTCTGAAGTTTGTCAAACATAGGTTGATCAATAGTATTTTCTAAGCTTACTCCTCCACGAAGGTTTAAAATTGCTCAGCGTCTCCAAAGATGTGGTTATATTAGTGACATAGCCTAATTTTAAACAAAATGGACCCTTTTATTGTGGTATTTTAAGGGTAATACAAATATAATATGAAACTGTTGACACAATTTATATTAACTGTAGTGTAAAATATGGCTAACCACCATCTCCTAGTTCTTTTGTTAGACGAATAGAAATCAGTTTGTCTACACCACTTTTTGTTTTGGTATACTTACAGATAATTTACTATATGGGGTAAAAGTAATCACCGTATTGGAAAACGCTATAATTCTTGCAAATGGTGCCAACTGTGAATTTGGTTTTGACTTTTTTAAAGTAAATAAACGCAGAATACAAATTGACAAGCCATAAATCAATTTACTCAGCAAGAACTTAGTGGAATAATTATTGTTTTCACTGTTTTTTTTCTGCGGCATTTGATCACACCCATTCAAGAGAGTGGGACATCAGAAGATTTTCCCAAGGCTGTCCGGATCCAGAACAGCTGTTCTACTAAGAATACCGTTGCTGTTGCCCAAGATGTCAAAGAGAGGCCCGAATCATCGCCAATATGATATACCACACAACTTTTGTTAAATATTTAAATATATTCCATTACAAAGTACAGACAGTGCATCAGCTGTTAGCTGTTCACCGCCAAAGGCGTGTAATCTAACCTGAGCAATTCTGAATCTCAACAAAGAGGAGAACGATTTTTCATCAAAAACTATTATGAGCGATGAGGTTCACTTATATTTTAGCAGTTACAAAATTATCGTTTCTAGGGCTCCAAACATCCATGTATCACCCAAGAAGAACCATTACACCCGCTCAAAGTTACTGCGTCGTGTGATGTTTACGCTGGAGAAATCATTGGGCCATTTTTCTTTGAGAGAACGCCACAAAATAAACTTTTTTTATCTTAATGGGCTGAATTGGGTCTGGAGTACACGTGGTTACAACAGGGTGATGCAACGACGCATACTGCTAGAGCTGCAGCTGATATTCTGTATCAAGCATTTCAAGGTCGCTTAATCTCTCGTTTTGGCGATTTGCACTCACCGGCAGATCACCCAATTTAACCGTTCTAGACTTTTGTTTATGGGGTTTTTCAAGTCACGGGTTTACGGCAACACTTATCAGGCTCTTGAAGTTCTTAAAGGGCATATTCGTCAGAAATGCGAAAACTTGTCGCTCAAAGTTCAGCTTGAAACGTTTTGCCTTCATAGTTTCTATATATGTTTTATATTGAGATTTTTTTCAATTTTTCGATTCACTTCTTCAAACGTTATGCATAGACATAAAACTGATTAAGTGGGTTTTAAAAAGGCCAAGTACATCAACATAGAATGAAGAGTGTGTCAAGCGTGCATTTTGTCTCTCCTATTATTTAATGTATATGCCGAACATATAATTCGAGCTTCTTTTAAAGACCGCCTTGAAGGTGCCAGAGTCAATGGAATTATAATTAACAATATAAGATATGCTGGTGACACTGTAGTATTAGCAGAAACAAAAGAGTAACCAAAAATATTGATGAACATATTATCAGCAGAAAGTCACAGGCTAGGCTTGGACATTAACTTTTCCAAAACCAAAATTCTGATATTCCACAAAACCCCCATGAACAAGTTACACCTAACATACAAATAAATGGTATCATCCTTTAGTGTTCCCAAAGCTTTATATACGTGGGCAGAGAGCTAAATAGTCAACTAGACCACTTAAAATAAATTAGAAGACGCATTGAAATAGCAAGATCTAGCAATCAGTCTCAATAAGATTGAGAACACTAAAGTGTTATGTGTGGTCACTATTACTATATGGCTGTGAGACCTGGACATTAAAACAGTATGACGTCAACAAAATTAAATTCATTTAAAGTATGGATGTACCGCCGAATGTTAAGACTAAGCTGGACGAGCAGAACTACGAATGAAGAGGTACTGAGAGTAATAAACGTATTTTCTCATCTGATCAATATTATCAAAATTAGAAAGACGTCACATGTAGTCACATAATGCGCCATAGGGAATTTGAGCAGCTCCAGGTAATATTAGAAAGCAAGATTGATGGTAAAAGAGGCATAGAACGAAAGAAAAAATCTTGGATACGAGACATCAAACATTGGATCCACACAAAGGAAATGAGTTAATTCATCAAGCCATAGAGAAATTTGCCATATTGATCGCCAACCTCAACAGAGAACAAGAAGGGGGAGAAGGGTTTCAAAAGCCTACGATATTCTTTAAAAAGACTAGTTCCTTCGCTGTTTTTTCCTGTGTAAATATAAGCATTATAGAGTTAAGAACTATACAAAAGTAGGCATTAGGTGGGTATTAGGTGGGCACCAATTTTCCTTTAAAAACACAATTAAATATCTGATAAATATCTTATGATGAAACACCCTAAACAGCACTTTCCATCGCCTTTTTCTTCCAACGTCTCAGCAAGACAACTGAGATCATAAAAAGCATCAAGCAGAGAAAGCTGGAATATTTCGGACATGTAATGAGAGGTCCCAAATATAGGTTGATACAAAATATCATGCAAGGAAAAATAACAGGCAAACGCAGTCCAGGACGAAGAAGAACCTCATGGTGGAAGAACTTGCGAGATTAGTATGGTGTTGATACAAGCATGCAATTTTGGGTGACAGTGAATAAAATTAAGATAGCTATGATGGTAACCAACGTTCTGAAAGGAAATGGTACATGAAGAAGAAGAAGATCGCTTTTTTTAGCACACGGATCTTTTTCACTGTTCTTCTTGTTATAGTCAACATTTCCGCTCCGTAACTCAACACTGGCAAAACCACTTATTAAAAATCTTTCTTTTAAGAAATATTAGTATATTAGACAATTTAAGTTATTGGGTCAATTCGACGTTAAATTTTAAAAAAAAATCTGATTTAGCGATGAAAAAAGTGCACTTTAACCATGATAACGCACCAGCTCTATATAACACCGCCGTCACTATAGCGAAATTGGTTGAATTGGGCTACGACATATTAATCCATCCATTGTTTTCTCCAGATTTGGCCCCCTTTGGACTTCCTTATGTTTTCAAAAGGTACTCTCTAGGCAGAAATTCAAGTCGAGTCAGGAGGTCATTGCCGCCACAGGAGCCCACTGTGCAGATCTCGAGAAAACGTATTTTTCAGACGAGTTAAAGAAATTGGAGCATCTCTGGATCACGTGTGTCAAGCTAAAAGAAGACTATGTAAAGAATTAAATCGGCACTTCTAAAAATTTTGTTTTTCTTTTGTAAGCTAACTACTTATCCGACCGCCCTAGTCTACTATGCTTCAAAATATGAATAAAGAAAGCAAATATATATGTCGCCTACCTCCCTTGTTTTCTCCTTACAGCTAAATAAAAACATTTCTTATATTGGTGGGTTATCTTTTAAAAATGGTTTCATTCTCACTTAAATATAAATTAATGAACTATTAAAATGTGTCACATGGATTAATAATTTTTATTAAAAAAAAAAGAGAAAACCAAAATAGCAAAATACTTAATTTTAATTTTTAAAGTAATTACTATTTAAATGGGAATAAGCCACAGTTAAAGGTTAAAGTACGTTTATTGAAGTTTCAATTTTCACTTCAGGAATCGTTCTAGAACGATTTTCGAAGTGGAAATTAAAATACTGTCAAGAATGCGACTAAAACTTTTAAATGAATTATTTTCTAATGACCAACAAACTAAAAGTCGATATATAAATAAGTATGTGATCAGATTTTTAGTAATTTTTTATTGTGTAAATCAATGTTATTTTTTTATGGTTTTTAAATAGATTAGTGGGCGTAAGGCCTTGTTTACATATCTATGTTGGTAAGGTTTACACTTATTTGCATTTAATTGACATAAATTTGACAATGTGTAATTCTGCGTTAATGACTTTTCCTATTACAAGTTACGAAGAAGCTTTTTATGCGGCCACCCCTCAATACTTTTAGCTGTCCCTTATTCTTTTATATTCTCAATACTCATCTTAAAGTACAGTCGGTGCAGGAATAAATAATACATTTTCTTTTTCTTCTTTTTCTCTGTTAAAGATTTAGTCTTCGATAGTGCAAAAAATAATATGCAGAGCTGATGGGAAAAGCAACTTTCTTGAACACGACATTATTGCTCTTATATATACAATATAGCACTATTTGGTTTTATTTCAATTTAAAGTTTTAATAAAGTACGTTTTTACCAATATCATTTTAGATATGGTTATCCTGGAAAGAAGTGCTTGCAAAGAGCAATATGTGAGGCAGCTGAATACACTACAGAAAATTATGGCGTTCTTGGAGACATATTACACATTTTGTTAACGTAAGTTGGATGTTATTTTTAACTAAAATAATTTTTTTAAAGTCCCTAAAACAGATTTGAATTGATTACTGTTACAACTTTAAACAAACAGTTAATAATTTATTAGTCGTTAATAACAGCATGTTTTTCATATAATTATTAAACTGTTTTTTAACCAATTTTTTTAGGATTTTTGGTTTGGAAATCAAATAAAAGAAATATAATTTATTAATAAAGAGTTTTAAAAATGTGTGATAACAATATGCATAATATACTAAGTGACATAAAAATCCGGACACCCATTATAAATATTTTTTTTATAAAATTTGAAATACGGGAAATATTGGAATACTTGATGGATTCGACCGTTACTTGATGGAAATTCATTTTATGTAACAATAAAACACTGAAAACTTTGTTTTCAAAGTTCCACAAAATTTATTTGAAATATTATCACTACAGCTGTTTTCGGCTGATTGCCTTTCTCAAGTGATCTATTTTGGCTTGGATTTACAAATTTATAGTCTCTAATGAAATAGGTTGAGGAGGGGAGAACTGTTTGTCTCAAGTTGGTCATTCAGAATTATATCTGTGTTTTTTAATTTGTTGATTTCCATAGATTCTAACAAAGATAGCTTAAGGCCTTTATTTTGAATGTGAAGAATTTTAAATTTGTCATTAAAAGAATGATTATGATCTAGAAGGTGAAGTGCGTATGTCGAATCTGTTTTTCTATTCTTGAAAGCCCTTTTATGTTCTGCTATTCGTTTATCAAAGTTTCTACCAGTTTGACCGATGTAAGTTTTTGGGCAGTCGCCACATTCAAGTTTGTACACACCACTATTTAAGTGTTTTTTATTTTGGCTCTTGTTATTTTTAATATATTTGCCTAGGTTGTTATTTGTTCGGAAAGCTGGTGTTATTCCTTTCTTTTTTATGTGTTTGGCAATTTTTGTTGTTATTTTGCCTGTATATGTAATCGAGCAGAAGGTACTGAGTTTTTTCTCTGGTGGTGGAAATACTAATTTCAGGGCTTTCTTGTGTAGTTTTTGATTTAACATTTTATTAATTGTTTGTTCGTTGTATCCGTTGTTTACTGCTATCTGCTTAATTATATTTAATTCTGTCTCAAAGTTGTATTTTGACATAGGAATTTCTGTTAATCTATGTAACATACTATGATAAGCTGCCAGTTTATGTTGTGTTGGATGGGATGACGAATTGTGTATAGTCGTGTCAGTATGGGTAGGTTTATGAAATATGGAGAAGTCATGTTTGTTTTGAAGTCTGCTAATTTTTAAATCTAAAAAATTTATGGATTGATTTTGTTCTGTTTCTATTGTAAATTCAATATGACTATGAAGTGAATTAATATATGATAAAAATTGGTCCTGTTGCCTGTTAGTTCCTGTGAAACATACCAGTACGTCGTCTACGTATCTCCACCAATATAAAAACTGTTTGAATACGGGATGTTTTGAAATCTTTGTCTCTAGATGATCCATAAAAATATCTGATAGCAATGGGCTTAGAGGATTACCCATTATAAGTCCTGCACTGTTATTTGTATAAATTTTATTATTAAATTCAAAGTAGTCCTGGTTTATGCAAACTTCAAGAAGATGTAAAATTTCAGATGTAATTATTGGATTTGTACTATTTTGGTCTAAAAGGTTTTTTACTAGAATAAAAGTTTCTGTAGGAGGGATACTAGGGAGGGAAGGAGGAGGGAGGGATAAAAAAAAATCTATTTCCTAGTATCCCTCTTACAGAAACTTTTATTCTAGTAAAAAACCTTTTAGACCAAAATAGTACAAATCCAATAATTACATCTGAAATTTTACATCTTCTTGAAGTTTGCATAAACCAGGACTACTTTGAATTTAATAATAAAATTTATACAAATAACAGTGCAGGACTTATAATGGGTAATCCTCTAAGCCCATTGCTATCAGATATTTTTATGGATCATCTAGAGACAAAGATTTCAAAACATCCCGTATTCAAACAGTTTTTATATTGGTGGAGATACGTAGACGACGTACTGGTATGTTTCACAGGAACTAACAGGCAACAGGACCAATTTTTTATCATATATTAATTCACTTCATAGTCATATTGAATTTACAATAGAAACAGAACAAAATCAATCCATAAATTTTTTAGATTTAAAAATTAGCAGACTTCAAAACAAACATGACTTCTCCATATTTCATAAACCTACCCATACTGACACGACTATACACAATTCGTCATCCCATCCAACACAACATAAACTGGCAGCTTATCATAGTATGTTACATAGATTAACAGAAATTCCTATGTCAAAATACAACTTTGAGACAGAATTAAATATAATTAAGCAGATAGCAGTAAACAACGGATACAACGAACAAACAATTAATAAAATGTTAAATCAAAAACTACACAAGAAAGCCCTGAAATTAGTATTTCCACCACCAGAGAAAAAACTCAGTACCTTCTGCTCGATTACATATACAGGCAAAATAACAACAAAAATTGCCAAACACATAAAAAAAAAGGAATAACACCAGCTTTCCGAACAAATAACAACCTAGGCAAATATATTAAAAATAACAAGAGCCAAAATAAAAAACACTTAAATAGTGGTGTGTACAAACTTGAATGTGGCGACTGCCCAAAAACTTACATCGGTCAAACTGGTAGAAACTTTGATAAACGAATAGCAGAACATAAAAGGGCTTTCAAGATTAGAAAAACAGATTCGACATACGCACTTCACCTTCTAGATCATAATCATTCTTTTAATGACAAATTTAAAATTCTTCACATTCAAAATAAAGGCCTTAAGCTATCTTTGTTAGAATCTATGGAAATCAACAAATTAAAAAACACAGATATAATTCTGAATGACCAACTTGAGACAAACAGTTCTCCCCTCCTCAACCTATTTCATTAGAGACTATAAATTTGTAAACCCAAGCCAAAATAGATCACTTGAGAAAGGCAATCAGCCGAAACAGCTGTAGTGATAATATTTCAAATAAATTTTGTGGAAGTTTGAAAACAAAGTTTTCAGTGTTTTATTGTTACATATTGGAATACGACCATTATCTTGGCCAAAACAATCAATGCGTAGAATTGCAGATTTACTTATCACTACAATATCGCTTTGGTTTTTCGTTTTTTATTATTATTTTTTTTTTTTTTTTAATTTGGTCAACCACTAAAAATTTCAACTTTAACGTTTAAAAATTTTTATTTAAAAAATTATTTAAACAAAGGTATAATATTAAAAACCTTATCGGACTACTTCACAGTACGTTTTCGGAATTATTATTCTATCATCAGTGCTATCCCAAAAGTATTACCACTTTGATTAAATTTAAACGTGATTTAATTAAAGTGGTTATACTTTGAGATATCACTGATCAAGGAATATTACATCCGAAAACATCTAGTGATGTAGCCCGATATGGTTTTTATTATTATACCTTCTATAAAGGAATTTTTTAAATACATTTTTTTGTTATACATGGTATACAGATAACTACAGGAATTCAGTTTCCTTGTGGATTTTTCGTTTATTACTAATTAAAATTTAGCGGTGTGCGGTTCTTGTTTTTATTTAAAAGTAGTTTACAATGTCTATAGTATGCAGATGGGCAAATGAGCAGAACGTAAAGATTGTTGCCTAAGGTTAATGGCTCTAAGAGATTTAGGCAGATTTAGGCGTTGGTAGCTGCCATCTAAATGAGATAAAAACTAGAAAGATGGAATACTTGGGGCACATTGTGAGAGGTGAAAAGTACGAACTTTTAAGAAACATCATGCAGGGCAAAATTAAGGGCAAAAGAAGTGTGGGAAGAAGAAAAATATCGTGGCTTCGTAATCTACGTGAATGGTTCGGGTGTAGTTCGATTGAACTTTTTAAGCGCGCTGCTAACAAAGTCGCAGTGGCCATGATGATTTCCAATCTCCGCTAGGAGTGGCACGAGAAGAAGAAGAAGCTGCCATAATAATTTATAATAATTTGCCGATATTTTTCTTGATCTTGTGCGGCAGATACAAATGATTAGCTAGTAGATCAGTCCATTGGCGAAGATTTCAGAGCTGTGGATATTTTTTACCAATTCTTTTCTTCTCCTCTATTTCGTATTTCTCATTTATCCCTAAAAGGGCTCTTCAGAACTGCTATTCCCAGTCGCTCTGAACATGAAAATAAGTCTCTTCTGTCTTAGGAAGCAACTCTAACATGGCTTCGTATGGACGCAAATAGGGACATCTCATATTAAATCTGCCGATTTAACGTGACATACGCACTATCCAACCAATGGCACTACAGCCCAAGCCGGGCCTTGGCCTCCTTCATTAAACCTCTCCAAACATCTCTATTTACTGCTGTTCTTTTCCATGAACGCGTTTTTAGGAGATTTTTGGCATCCTCATCTACCTCGTCTTCCCATCTCTTTTTTGGTCTTCCAACAGGTCTTTTTCCTTGCATTCTTGCGTTTAGTAATTTTCTGGGGATTCTGTTCTCATGCATGCGGGCCACATGCCCTGCCCATCGTAATCTCTGCAGTCTAGTGTATTGTGCTAGTGTTGGTTCAGTGTATTGTTCGTATATTTCGTTATTATATCTAATTCGCCAGTTGTTATTTTCCTTTATTGGACCCAGTATTCTACGCAATATTTTTCTTTCGAACACGTCTAATGCATTGGTAGATTTCTGTGTTATAACCCATGTTTCACACCCATAACTTACTATGGGTCGGATTATTGTTTTATATACCCGGAGTTTTGTTTTCCGGTGTACGTCTCGCGATTTGAATATGTGGCCCATCGCGAAATAGGCTTTGTTTGCCAGCATAAGCCTTCTATTTATTTCCGGTTCTTCTTCATTATTTTCGACCAGATCCATTCCTAAATACGTGAATCTATTCACGTATTCTATATCGTCTATAAATTGTTGTTGTTGCGCCTGTCTATTTGATCTGGTTTGTATGAGTAGTTTTGTTTTATTTGTATTTATTGTTAGCCCTACAACTTCTGAACTCTGTTTCAACTGAACGTAGGTTTCTTCTGCCGCAGTCTTTGTTCTGCTCATTATGTTTATGTCATCTGCGTATGCTGCTAATTGGGTAGATTTGTTTGTAAGTATGTTATTTCTGCTCACCGTCAACCGTCTAATTACATATTCAAGAACAAGATTAAAAAGTGTTGGAGCCAGTCCGTCACCTTGTTTCAGTCCTTGCGTTGTCATAAACGCATCAGTGATCTGTCCTTGAATACATACATGTGCTTCTGTTTCTGTCATTGTCATTTGCACTAGTCTTATTAATTTTGATGGTATGCCAAATTCTTGTAATATATTAGGTAGTATTGTTCTATCTATTGAATCATAGACTTGCTTGAAATCTACAAAGAGATTGTAGACGTCTATGTCATATTCCCATGCTTTGGCTAGTATTTGTTTAACTGTAAATAGTTGGTCAATAGTAGATCTATTTTGCCTGAACCCTGCTTGATATTCCCCGATAATTTTTTCAGTGAGGGGTTGAAGTCTTCGATTAAGAATGTTTGTGAGTATTTTGTATGCCGAACAAAGTAAAGAGATGCCTCTATAATTTTGGCATAACAGTGTGTCTCCTTTTTTATGAATAGGGCAGATTATACTTTTCTTCCATTGTTGTGGGATTTTTTCTTCTCTCCATATTTCTTGTATAAGCTGGTACATATGTTCTGTCAAATTTGTTCCTCCCTGCTTGAACAGTTCTGCCGGAGTCTTATCTATTCCCGGCGCTTTATGGTTTTTTTGCATTTGGATTGCTGTTCGAACCTCCTCTAGCGTTGGAGGTCTAGCCAATTCATTATCTTCTCCATCTTCCCACAGCTCCTGTTGTTGACCTTCCTGTTCTACCTGCTGCTGCCGCTGTTGTAGTGGTGTTTGTGACCTTTCATTTAATAATTCCTTAAAATACATCATCCAGGTTCTCTTAATTTCGTCCATATCGCTAATTATTTCCCCATTCTTATTTTTGCATAGGCTAGTCTTCGGTTTGTAACCCTGTCTTAAATGTTTGATAAGTTGGTATGCACTGCGTGTTTCGTTTTCCTTGAAAGCCCTCTCTATGTTTAGTATCCGGTTGTTTTCGTACCGTCTCTTTTTCTGTCTGCATAGTTTATCAGCTCTTCGTCTTTTATTCTCAAATTCTGTCCTTCGCCCTATACGTGAGTCAAATCTTAACTGTCTTTTCCTTTTATTCCGATATACTCTGTACGAGTACTAGATACCAATTCGCTAAGGATTTTTGCTTAGTTGAGGAGATATATTGTGGAATGCAATTTTTAGATTTCTGATGTCTCTAGTAACGTCTTTATCAACGTCTGTTTGCCTTGCAATTGTTAGAAGAGACAGATTAAAGCAAAAATCTGAATTTGCTTATGAAAGTTAGTTTATGGATTTAATTTAAAATAAATTTTGTGGAAGTGTTGAAAACCAAAGTTTTCAGAGTTTTATTGTTAGATAAAATAAATTTATACTTATATTTAAAAATTTGTTCATGTTTGAAAAAGAAGTGTCTTTCGCCTTAACCTTAAAATGATAGTCTTATTTCAAATACCACTAATCTAATATAAACAATATAAACGTATTTCTTATTTTAAATCAAATTGGAATTTGTTTTAGTAAAGATTTATTTATTGTAGGCCATCCACATCCCCCAACGACACTAATGTAGAAGATTATGCAAAGTCTGAGGAATATGGTAGAACCAAGGGGAACTGCAAAAAATATAAGAAAAATTGTGGATTAAGTATATTGAACTTATTCAGTGTGATCAAAGATACATATTCTATGTACAATCCTCAAACCTTAAAAAAAGAAATTTCTATGCTGTAGTGTTTGACTTATTAATTACTACGTTTATTTAGTAACATATTTTACGAAATAATGACCTGTTCAATGATTCACTGGAAATGTTAATTGTATTTAATACATAATTTACGTGCAAATCATTAAATTTTATATCTTTGGTGCTGTTGGTGAAGATTGAAAAATTAATATTTACAATCTTTAGGAATCCTAAAAAAGCGATAATATTGAAACTTGATACTTGATACAATTTATCGATATAATCTAAAGTAAAGGTGAACGATATAGAAACAAATAATATACCGATTGCGTGAGGGGTCAAGCAAGGATACGTCTTGTCTCCGATGCTTTCCAACGTGTACTCACAGTTCATATTCAGAAAAGCCTTAAGGGAAAGAAAAGAGAGAATAAGAATTGGTGGATAAAATTGTTAATACCATAAGATTTGCAGATTACATGTTAAGGCTGAAAGTATAGAAGAACTACAAACTTTACTAGATGCAATAAATAGTGAATGCATTCAAACGGCATTTGACATCAACAAAGATAGAACCAAATTTATGATAGTCCAATAGATATATAGAAGTCCAATAAATAATGAACAACTAACCCTTGGTGGACAGCAAATAGAGAGAGTGACAAAATATAAATATCTGGGAGCTTACATCAACACAGAATTAGATCCAGACCAGGAGATCAGGTTACGAATATAAACGGCAAGGGCGCAGCGTTCTTAAAATTCAAGCCATTGTTCTGTGAGAAAAATTTGAATACTGCGCTGAGACTGAGGTTTGTTGAATGTAACGTTTGGTCCCAACTATTCTACGAGATAGAAACATAAATGTTAATAGCGCAAATAGTTAAGAAGCTTGAAGCCTTTGAACTTTGGATACCGGAGAATGTTAAGAATTCCATGGACAAATGGAAATGGGTCACCAATGAAAAAGTGCTGAGAAGGATAGGACGAGACAAAAAATTGTTGAGGACAATAAAAGTACGCAAGACTGCATATCTACCTTGGATAGATACTGAGGAATGATAAATATAGTCGTCTGCAAGTCATCGTGTAGGGTTAGAGTCGATAGCAAAAAGGGAATAGGTAGAAAGAGGAAGTTATGGCTGAGAAATATTCGAGACTAAACAAACATGACATGTAGACAAATTATTTCACGTTACAAACGACAGAGAAACTTTTAAAAATGTGGTCACCAACCTCCGTTATTGAAGACTGCATAGGAAGAAGAAAGTATATTAAGCAAATATAAAAAGTTCTTAGATACCACCACCCGTTATGACCTGGCGTTACATATATGTAACTTTTGTAAACCCTTACAAAATTCTCTTGTGCGATCTTAGTTCGGCTATTAGCAGGTAGATAGTATGATAGGTTAGTTATCAAAAGTTAGTTGTGCCGTTAGAAATAAGATGGGTTGTAATAACTTTAAATATATTGTTTGTTTTATGTGATTTATTTTTGGTGCACATTTTGTATCAATTTGTATAATTAGAGTATAATTTGAGTTAGTATTTTGAAAACAATTTCTTTTTCACTTTTGCAACATTATATATGTATTTGTTTAGCTAATAGTTTTGTTTACATGTTAGGTTAGGTATTTTCCAAAACGAATGTTAATAGGTATTAAAAACTGGTGTTTTATTTGTGTTACAAATATGTAACGCAAAGTTAGTATGAAGCCAAAAAATGTTTACAGTATAAATTGATGATTTTTTTATTAGAGAAATAAGTCGCATCCACCAAAAGATTATTAGCGGCGGAACAAAAATTTAATAACAAAATTAAATAACTACAGATTATAGAAAATGTTTCTAGATCTCAGATATTTCATTATACCATCATAAGAATACTTCTGACCTAGAGCTTCTGCCAGAGAGTTTGGGATATTGTAGCGATGTCTTTCTTGTGCCTATTTCACACAATTTGTTAACAAGTGTTCGACTGTTAATCGAACGTTACACTGATCACATATGGGTGGGTTATTCTTTGTAAAAAGGTAAGAGTGTGTTAACTTGGTATGTTCTAGGCGTAAACGCACAATTACAATTAGTTCACGACTGTTAAGCGACGATACAATCCACTGGGACACATTACTTTTAATCTTATTCAGCTTAGAATTAGTTTAAGACCACTCATTTCGTCACAAACACAACACTTTATTTTTAAAAGAAGCTTTTAAGTTACTGAAAACACACTAGGCTCCAAACAATTGCCTAAAATTTCCTGTTGTGCAGTACTGTCAGCTTCTTCGTTTCCCATTATTCTGACGTGTGAGGGTACTTACAAAAATAGTAACTCTTCTTCCATGTTGATGAGCTTGGGACAGCTGGTATTTTAGGAACTTTTCAAAAGGATATTTCGGAAAAATATGTTTTAATGAGTTTAGAAAGCTAAGAGAAATCATTACCGAGAAGGAAGTATTTAAACCTGAACAACTCAAGGAACAATGTACTCAAAATAATCATTAAATAACGGATTGCGAGATTTATTTCAAAAATGGAGAATATTAACGGAAAATTCGTTTTGTAGTAATGTGTTTCTGAAAATTGCCGAGCAAGTGACACAAAATATAAGTTATATGTAAGAATGTATAGTATTTTGTGTTAATTAACTTGCAACTTCTCTTGCAAGCGTTTTGGTATTATAATCGTATCTTCTGTATATCTGATATTGTTAACGCTCTTTGTAGAATGATTTCAGGACTTGATCTTCGTTAGGTAGTCTTCCTAAGATTTTAATCCCTTACGCAAACGTTACTGTCGCTTGTTGCTTGTACTGACATGTCAAAGCTTTTACAATGTCAATGTCAAATCAGCACTAGGTAAAAAATGTTGAAAAGTAATCGGGTGCTGCCATATCGTTTGTTGAAACAATTGGGATCTGTCAGGTGATCATATCCTAGGATTATTATTGTATGCTTTTATAGATGTGACATTTGGAGAAGATTTTGCTCGAGCTGGTTCGACAAAAGTAGCAAAAAAAACTTTGCTGCGATTTAGAAGGTACTTTCTAAATCGACACACGGTAAAAGATGAAGATAATCGGGTGCTGTCAGATATTTTGTTGACACAATCAGTGTGTTTCAATGTCGATTCTCAAATAATCCGTGGTATAAGAAAACGAATGCGAACTGTAGAGGGATTATCGTATAGTGGGATTATTACTGTACAAAACTTTATGGCAATTTAGTCGGTTCCTTAATTACAGCTAGATAATAAATATTGAAAAGTAATCGGGGGTGTCGTCATATGGTCTGTTAAAACACTCAGGGTCTGTCAGGTGATCTTATAGTAGGTTTATTATTGTTTGTTTTGGTATTGTGGATGCAGATGTGATGTTGGGAGAGGATTTTGCTCAAGCTACTTATTAAATGGGCACTAGGTAAAATACGCTAAGAGAATCTGTTATAATCAGGGCTTTTGTGAAGGTAAGCTCAGCTGAATATGTCCTACATACTGGAGGTAGACGGAAAAGAAGATTGTTTTCTTGATTGAAAGAAGAAGGAAACGATTGATGCCCCTACTCACTACTGAATAAGGTAGTTGTTTGTACTAGATTTATCAAAATAGGCTATAGACGTCTAAAGCCTTCGTATATTTAATAGGCGAGGAGAAAAAATCCAGAAAATTAGTGTTGAGATTTTGAAGTATGAATTGAATTTTTTTCGTAATATGGTTTTTTTTAGTATACCAAACATCTTGGAATTTGTTTACATATATGTTTATTATATTGGTTTTAAAATATTACAGGCGACTAAGGCTGCATGTGATAAGGTGAGGAACATGCGGCGGTGATGTAGCGTTGGTTCTCCTAAAAGAGCATAAATGCTGGATACCCGGGAAGTTGGAAAAGCCCCTGTAATTAATCTAAGACTTTTATTGTACATACCGTCTAATGATTTAAGAAGAGACTGATTAGGAGTGGAATAGGCAATTGTTTTATAATTTAGCTTAGAACGTATTTATACAGAAGAAGTAGAGTGGATTGGTCTGAGTCCCACTTTTTGTTACAAAGAAATCTTAATACATTTAATCTTTTATTATAGGAAATGATTAGTTGTGAGATGTGATCTTTTCTGTAAGCATTAAATCAAAGATTAAACGCAAGAATTTGTGATGGTCTTTAAACTCCAGCTATTTCTCATAGATTCTGAGGGTCAGGAGTTGTGGCAAGGAGCTTAAGGAGAATACAACTCCTATTGATTTCTCTATTGAAGATTGAAAGCCTGTAAGGTGAGACCAATTTTCGAGAGTATCTAAAAAGTTTTAAAGAATTGAGGGCATTAAGGAGATATTTTGGCCTTTCATAGAAGCCACTAGGTCGCCATCGTATTAACGGGCTTGTAAGGGTATTGATGATTTTATTTATTTTTTTTTATTTTTATTTGTCGTTATATATGGTTAAAACAGATATGAAAAAGACAATTATGATTTCGCCATGTAGGAAATCTTAGGATTCCTAGTGTTTAAATTATAGTTTTTTATTGACAATTTTGATCTCATTTTTTGTTATGGATATGCATAGGAGATATGCATATGCAAAGGAGATATTCACAGAACCACCGGAAATTCATGTTTTGGCAGACGAAGGTTCTGCAAATGAGGATAATGGACGAATTGTGGATAAATTAATTATCAGGCCAGTAATTAAGAGCACAAGACGAAATTAAATACAAACATTCAACTAGAATTTTTTTCCACTCTATTTTAGATAAACCAACTTGCACTATATCTGATGAGAATGTTACCATGGAGCAAGTAACGAATGAGTGTGAGCAAACATTAACAATTATACTGCCATATAAAACAAAACTCGAATGACGAAAATATTGAATGTCCAGCTAAATTATTTAATAAAATATACCACAACAATCAAATTCTTGAAGAATGGTTTAAATCTTTTTGTTACCCTTCTACGATATATTTTGCTTACCGCATTGTAAGAACATGGGGTAGAAGATTGGGCAAACAAAATAATCGAAACTAGTGCGTACGGCACTCAGGGTGTTGTTGGAGAGCTGGGTCGTGGATAAGTTGAAATAAATGGGTCGGATTGGTGTATCTACAAAATGAAAACA